ATTTTCCGAAAAATCTTGCTTTCACTGTAGTTTTTATTTTAATAAGAAAATTCCAAAATATTCTTTAATAAAAAAAGAGTTTTCTTTAAAATTATATTAGGTGAAATTTGAAACGCCTTTCATAATTAATTTAGTAATATAGCCAAGAATTGATAGCAAACTTTTTAACCCTGTGAATCAACTCCGATAGGGAAGTTCCAAACAAATGTTTTCAAAATTGAATTTAAGATAATAAATATTTAAGCATTTCAATTTAACTTGTTAAAAACATTTATCAAAATCTGATAATGTGTGTTCTCAAAAGCTGTATTGAAATAACTGAAGAGATGAGTGACTCCAAAAGTTCAATTTCCTCATCGACTATCTGTTTTCCTTGTATTCATTCGTCGCCTTACTGGCGCCTGGTGGTTATCATTCGTCCCGACGAAATTCGGTAATAATAGTTTCAGCGATTCTTTATTTCCTGTGCAGTTTTTATTTGGATAAAATACGTAAATTGTTTTGTTAAACTCAGGTATTTTATATAAATACAAAAACAATCAACTATTAAGTTTAGAATTACATTTTCCTGTTACTTTATTGAAATCAAAGTCTATTTTTAACATATTTCCTAATTAATAACAAGTTGAAAATGTCAACTGAATAGATACTGGGGGGAGAGCATCTCCCTGCATCTCCTCGTTTGGTTAGGGCTCTGACTGACTTAACTTGTTTGTTTAGAGAATTAAGTCATTATGATTGGCTTAAGTTTTTTTCATTGCTGTTGTTGTCATTGTTTTAACTTTACTCAATCTTCGAATATACTTAGCGTTCATGAAGAATTCTTAGGGCAACTGTAAGTGACTTAATTCGTTTGTTTGAAGAATTAAGTCAGTCATGGTTGTCCTAGGGTTTTTTCATTTCTGTTGTTGTTGCTAGGTAATGTCGTTCTTTTTTAACTTCATTTAACGTTCGAACACACTTAGTCTTTATGAAAAAACACTTAGGGCAACCATAATTCGTTTGTTTGAAGAATTAAATTAGTTATGGTTGCCCTAGGTTTTCTTTATGCTGTTATTGGTAGGTAATGTCCTCCTTTTTTACCTTAATTCAACGTTCAAACATCCTTAGTCTTTATCAAAAAGCACTCAGGGCAACCATATGAGTTAATTCGTTTGTTTGAAGAATTAAAGCAGTTACGGTTGCCTTAGGCTTTTTTTTTCATTTCGGCTGTTGTTGCCAGGTAATTTCTTCGTTTTTAAGTTCATTCGGCGTTTGAGCATAGTCTTTATGTTTATGTTTATTAATTTATTCAATTCCATAATAATATTTTAATATACAATCTTTATAATTGAGAAATTAAATTTTGGCGGAGGTGCCTGGCAGATATAATTTCCAATAACGAGATATAATTTGGTATTTTTCAGTAAGTGTTGAATTAAATTGTACTGGTATGGTTTATAATTTTATTTGTAGCAATAAGGGTCTAAATTGTTTAAAAATCTCTGTACTTTGTTTTCACAATTGATGAAATTCTTGTTCAGTTTAAAAATTAATACGGGCAGGATTGCACTGCTAGGAAATAGGAAATATATTTGATAACTGATTTATTTTATAATGCTTATAATACTAATCAATAATATTGCCGGAGAATATTCTCAAGAGTGTGTATTTCGAGATGTACCATTTGTCAGTTTTGAAATTTGTACCTATCTCTATCTTTAAAATTTTTTTTGACATCTTCAGATAGCTCTTTTTAAAGAAAACTTGTGCGAAGCTTTACAAAGTTCAGTTATTCGTCCCTTTACCATCCCTTTGCAATGTTTTAAAGCGATTATACAGCACGAGATCAAGTAACCTAGGGTTTCCACATGGAATCGATTTAACGGTGACGTAACATGAACGAGAATAGTGGGGGAGCGTTCTGACTGGAAATGACGTCATTTGAGCATTTCCCTTCAACACGAAACTCAATGTTCGACTTTCGTTGAGTCGATACGATAATTTTTTTCTATAACATTAATGCAGCCATTTAAATTGTTTTATGTCGATAAAGTGATTGTTCAATGATGGGAAGTATTGCTTTTGTTATTGCCACAACAATTTACTGCCTAATAAGCTTCCTGTTTATTGCATGTAAGTAATTACTTACTTTCTGTCTTAGTGTTGAAAGATAATTATAAGATTATTTATAGAGGCGAGTGTACAGACATGCAGATATTTTTATATTATCAAATTACTCACCTGCCTTATTCTCACCTTATTAACACCATTATTTTATTTAGTGTATATATAATATGTCTGTCCTATGTGTGTATGCGCCCCATTAACCTAGAACAGTTTATTCAGAGTTAAGGGTTGCTCTTGTTTAAGATATTAATTAATTAGTTACTATTGATGACCTTAAGGTAATAATGTTTGCCCCTGACGCATTTCTGGAGGTGTAATGCTATTTTAAAGATTCTTTATTATTTATCTATTATGTAATAATATATATAATAAAACGTTATTTATTTTTCGATTTGAAACAAGCAGGTTGTGAATGTATTAGTAAAATTCCTTTTTTGTTAATAAATTTTGAATGATGAAAGTTAATTGCAAAAAATAACAATAAGACAATTTTTTTTTATAAATAAGTT